AATTAAATCTTATAGTGCAAATAAACTCTCAAAGCTAACTGATAAACAAATTGATGTAATTATAAACCATTATACTATCAAAATACTAGTGCATGACAAAAGTCTCGCACTCACGTGACAGAATCTACTCTAAAATCTGGATTTAATCCGAGTGATAACAAAAATCACATGACCAAACCATCTAGCTTGAAAGATGTATCAAATATTCAAATATTAAGGCAAGTATATCTGCTGAATCATCTCATACCTCTAGTTCAGAAGATATGATAAGTGAGGATAACAAATCTTCATCGAATACTAATAACAATAACTATATTTTACAGGATAATATTTTACTGGAAATGAATCCAAAGGATTCAACTGAGGTGAGTATATTGCCTGAAAAGGTTTTGTCAGAAACAGAGGTATGCATATTACCTATAAACAAAAATGCATCTTTCAATTCTTGTCTTCCAATTTCTATCTTACCCGATAATTCAGAAGAAAGACGAAATCTTCTTATTTATATTACATTGGAGCAATTCAATAATTTATTACTTAAATATAGCAATGAATATAGTGATTATTATGTTAATTCAGGAATATGTCCAGCATGTAATGAAGAGCATAAAGGAGATAGTATAGAAGGTTGGTGGAGTAATAGAAATTATTGTAGTGAAAAAACGTATCGTCTCTATTGTTGTAAGAAATCCCTTAGTGGAATCCTCATAGTAAATATGAAAGTATAAGACAAAAAGAAATTAACTAGATATTAATAATACATGATTATGTAAAAATGACTAGCCTTTCTTTATTTAATAAAAATTGTTGCCAAAACAACAATACCAATAAAAAATATATCACTGTTACAGGTGCGAATAAAATAAAAAAAAATTCTATTATCTAACGGGAGGGTAATAATTCTACAATGATATGAACAATATCTTGATTAGGATTTGTAGAGAAATGGTCATAGATATTACTATCCGAATTCATAATTGTGAAGTAGTCCCTAACAGTAGGAAAATATCTACAAAGCTAAAAATTAGTATTAGTTAATCCATCTAGTAAGCCAGCTCAAACTTGAGGTATTAAACTTTTTTTAACTTTATCTCCATTAAAAACATTAAATATACGAGTATAATGTTGATAACTACTAATCGAAAAGTAATAGTTAAGATTAATATTAATATAGTTGTTATCACCTATTTTGCATTTCTAAATGTAAAAATACATAATAATAATAAGTAAGTAGTAAGGCCTATAATTTCCCTACACCTAAATAATAAAACCTGCAGAAGCGTAATAAACATTACCTTGAAAATAAAATTTGAATATATAAGCCTTTTTTGATAAAAAAAAAAGGTAGGAGCAAATATAATGCTAACTCATCTTAAAGATTAGAACTGCTTATTTATATACCTTTCATTATCTAAACCTAACCACAAAATAGCTGAGAAGA